TCCTTCTAAAAAAATAAAGCTTGACAGAGTAAGAACATAAAAAAGAAAATTAAAATAGAAATCAAAATAATCTTAGATATCATGGTCTATTTTAATTCATTGTCCCAAAATTAATTTAATTTTTTCCCATCCCAAATATTATTGTACTACATACTAAACATTGGTATAAATAATAATTGTTGAGCTTTCATGTTTAGCAAATATTTTAGCATTCATTTTGAAAGTTTTCCAAGTATATTTTGTTTAAAATACGTTTTAATATTTAATTTATTACTGTAATCGATTGTTGTACGGGAGACCTCACGTGGGGCGACAGTTTGTCGCAGATGGATCTGGATGTGGTCAAGTCACAAGAAAACACATTTAAAAAGCGCATCACTTTAATTACAACTGTACAAGCACTAATAAGACACACTACAAAGATTAATATACAACAGACATTTAAAGAAATATACTTATATTTAAGTGGAAGGATTCCATTTCTAAACTGTAAATAAAGTTACTCAGTCACACGCTGGATAGCGAAATGTACTTTCTCTATGGATGAGAGTCTGTAACCAATTTACGCACATGATGGCGCTAACTATATCTTCTCTCAGGAGGAGAGACTGTAAACTAAACGTCTCTGGGGCAACAGCTAATTATACAGTTGTGGAAGGATTACACTTCTTGCTCTCGGGATGAGTGTTCGTAACTAACGGAAGCGCCTGTTTTGCTGAACATCCTCTCTGGCGAGAGTCTTGATGCCTTCTGACGATTTCTTCTGTACGCCGCAAAGGCCTCTCTTACAGTGCGTAGGTGGAACCACAATTACATTATCTAATTTATTATTATTTTAATTTTTATTCCTCGTTCTAATTGTTGATATATTTATATTAAAATTAATGTTATTTTGGAAATAACTTACACTAGTATAACTTTTTTTTTTCTTGAAGTAATAATGCAAAATATTTGTAAAAATGACAAAAATTCAAAAGATTTGAAAGTCTATGTTAGTAGCGCTTTTTTTATATATAAATCCTACCGAATTCTTGCAAATATATATATATATATATATATATGTTAGGATGAGTGTTTTAAATTAAGAGAGTTTTTGAATTTTAAAATAAAATACTCTTTTTTCCTGCTAAGTGAATTTTAAGTTTCATCAGAAATGTCATCCTGATATTCTTGTAAGTCTGATCAATTAAAAACAAAAAATAAATAGACAACTAAAATAGTTTCTTTTTTTTGCACCACGACAGGAGATATGATCCCCATGAGAAGAATTGTGTTATTGCAGTTTTTTTTCCCTGGTCCGCGAAAAAGAGACGCTGCAACAAATAATGATAAATCATCCGAAGAACTGAATGGAGCTATCGCAAAGAATGGCATTTTGAGATGTTTTATTTCTTGCGCTTCGGTGGCACAGAGTGAAGAAAGCTGATTTTCGGTATTCCGATGGCTGGGTGCCAAATGCCTTTTGCTAAAGCTGTGTGACAGTGAAGTTGTTTTATGGAATGATGTTCCACTCTTGCTCATCATAGTTCTCTAAACAGTAGACTGGAATTTACTTTAAATGGGAAATGAAAGTACATGAATTAAAGTTTCTTAGGAGCCTAAAAGTATATTAATGGCATTTTTTTGCGAATGTTACATTATTTTGCTTCTGTTTTGATAAGGATTTCTTATAAGTAAAACCGAAAGTCATCTAGAAATGATGACTTTTTATAAATCATATTCAATATATATGATGTAATATCGTCTCACTTTATGTGAAACTATAGTAGATGTGTTGCTTGTTTGTGCAGCTCGAACTAGGTGTAGTCAAAACGAGGCCTTCACGCGCACAAGGAGGTGTGTCAAATTATTTACTTGAGCATTCAGTAAGCAGTTACGTGACATTGACTGTAACATAGAGCATCGAATTTTTAATCATTTATTACCTGTATATGGAACTTACTTATAGTATATATATATATATATTATATTTGTTCTAAGGCAGCTGGCAAACACTTAGACAATTGTCTTGGTTGCCTTGAGGCAAGCGCTGTACTAACGTCATTCACTTAGCACTGCCCAGGAGGTGCGTGTAGCGTGAAGATAAGCTACAGACGTGGTGTTCCTCAGCAATGCTGTACGATCATGTTTGACCGGGTTCTACGGTTTAAAGCGGTTTCCGAACCTATACAAACATCCATGGCACCGCCGGGATTCGAACCTGAAACCTGTGGTACCGAGCTCTAGCCATTCGGCCATTCAGGTCTCCATTTACTTATATGTAGTTTCAATTATATTACTCACTTTTTCAGCAAGTTTTTGTATGCATTCATTTATTTATTTATTTTGCAAAATATATACCAGAAACGAGGAAATTTATGAAAACATTTCTATATTGCGTGCATATATACATAATATTCGTGTATATGTATATATTCTTATATATATGTTCGTATATTCACTAAGCGTTTTTCATGTATACATATTTATGCATGCTATCATCTTAAAAAATAGTTTTAAATAGTTTTATATTTTGTATTTTACACATATACATGTCTTATGAATTTCAAACTAAGGTAATTTTTTATTAAATTATTTATAATTTCTTGTAAGGTAAGGTTGAAATTTAATAAGTTACTCAAAATATACTATTTCACATTACACTTTTTAACATAAAGCTTTAATTCCACAGTCAGATAAATTATTAAATGTAGTAGAATCAAAAGAAACATTGACAAAATTAATTAATCGATTAAATGTTAAATAAATTTGGAAAATATAACAACAAATTAGCACCAATTATTTATTTTATGCGATTTATTCATGATTATTTTTTTACAATATCTTTCTTTGCGAATTAAGTATGCTTATGAATTTATGCAACTTGATATTTTCAAGCTTGAGTGGAAATGAATAAAAATGGGACTAATTGCATTTCAAGGTTCAGTCGAAAGAGTTAAATGAGGAGTTATGATTGTGTTAAAGCTCCTCTGGACACCATGAATGGTGTTCTCTAATCTTCCCATTCAAATTTCTTCAATGAAAATAAAGGAACATAATTCAATGCTCTGTTCCTGAAAAGCTTTATTGTAAAGCCTTAAACAAAATATACACTGTAGTTTGTTTTATCAAAATAGGATTGGTAGCCTTGCATTTGAAATCCTTTATAATTAAAATGTATTGCTTTCAAACTAATTTTAATTTTTAAGTCTAAGCGGCCTTCGAATCTCTTTTATAGCTCATTTATCGTAATTGTAAAAAGTGTTCAGTAGATAATCGATAAGAATATACACTTTTTGATCTATAACGAAGGGATGAAACATGCAAAGCATTTAAAATTTCAATTCTTACATATCTTAGATGTTTTAGGATAAATGTTATTAACAAACAGTAAATTTTTACTGCTTTAAAATATATAGTTATTTAAAAGAATATGCTTACTACGAAACTTTATGCCCATATAGTAAGACTGTCGACATAGAGGAAAATGCAACAATTAAAGCATTTCTTGTACATATTTTAACTTTCTTTTGTTATAAGCATTTACTCAATAGAATTTTTAAAAAATAATAATAATACGTAATAATAAAAATAATATGATAAAATACGTATTAAATAAAGATAAAAATAAGTGCACAAAATATAATACTGAACTAATAATAATTGATCTCTCTATATATATTTAATTGTATCGAATATAAATCCCAAATGTGCACGACGCTAACAATAATCATACTCGACGCTTAAAGTTTTCAATTCTGGAACTTTGAAGCGATAAGAAAAGTCAGTTCCTAAGAAATTTTTCCTTCGCCAAATGTCTCCGAACGCATCTTAAATTTTACATCACCCATTCAAAAGTTTCCAGTTAATTGGGACTCGTATTTACGCTCCGAAGAACAAGCAGCAAAATGAAAAGCTTATTTAAGCGATTCTGCAGAATGCTTCCCCATTGGGGTGCAGGACTCAATGGATTGCAAAGCGCGCTCTCATTTTCCGACATTGTTCTGGAGATCCTTTAACGTGAAATAATGGTGTAATAAACACGGCGGAATTGTTACCGGGTAATGTTTGGAAGGCGGATTAAGAGTTCTATGTGAACAGAAAAACCAGATAATCATTCAGATCGAGCTTAATCTGCTGTCCGTTTATTCCAGAATAAATCTCTATGAATAAAGGAATAAAAGAATAAAAGCATCTTCTAGGTAAAAGTGACTGATTCTTTTAGATAATAATTGAAAATATTTTAGAATCCGTTTCAGTAATGTCAGATACTTGGCCAACAGTTAATTTCCAACCAATTGTAGAAAATTTTAAATGTTCAGAAGATTTTGAATATTAGCATATTTTAATGCAAATATTTTAAAATATTTTATTATTATTATTATTATTATTATTTATGATGTGTATCTGGATCAAGCCATTTGTATTTGTCATTCCTCATATTTTGGTTCTAACACCCATTGGAAATAACGGGTAAAAATGCCATTGAACAGGTCTTTTAGAAGTATTTCCTTTTGCTTGTCTATTGAAAGAAAATCTTAAAAGTTGAACAATGACTGCATGTTTTTTTTTCATTGCAGGCTCTTGACTTTAAAATGTTTTTTTTATCTTACTTGTATTTATTTATTTTATTACTTGCCAAACGATTTCATTATATTTAAATTTTTATAACTATTTACGTAAAGCAGACGATTTTGAAAAGATAAGATTTATAGAAACTTTAATCGTTCAATAAACCGTTTCAAAGATAATAAAAAAAAAGTTGTTTGGATTTTTATTTTATTATTATATTTAATTTTTATACAATATAAAAAAAAAATTTTGTACATTTTTATCTTTTTATACATTATACATTTTTTTGTATTTGATGAAATAGTTATTTTAATATTAAAATTATATTTTCATTCTGAAATATGCACGAGACATTACTTTATAGATTATTTAATTCACGTGTGGCAACATGTTTATAACAAATTGATGGAAATCTAAAAATAATTAAATTTTTGAACTTTAGATTCTGAACCCTCCCAAGTACTGACCGCGCCCGATGATGCTTGACTTCGGTGATCGAACGAGAACCGGTATATTCAGCATGGTATGGCCGTTGGCAAATTAATTGATGCAATCTTTAATCTAACTTATTTCCCTACTATTTGGAAAAAAGCCATAGTGCTCCCCATTCTTAAGCCTGGAAAAGATCCTTCTGATCCCTCTAGTTACCGCCCCATTTCTCTCCTATCCACTCTAAATAAATTAACCGAATTTATCATTCTAAAAAAAATAAAAGCTCATTTGACTAAATATTCTATCATGATTCCTCATCAGTTCGGGTTCACCCCTCAACTTTCCACCACTCGTCAATTACTACGACTAACGGAATTGATCTCTGAAGGTCTATCTAATAAAATGCTAACAGGAGTCGTTTTCCTTGATGTTGCAAAAGCATTCGACAGGGTCTGGGTCGATGGTCTACTTCACAAATTGCACGCTTACAAATTTCCACTCTACATTATTCTTTTAATCCAATCCTATCTCAATAATAGATCTTTCTCTGTTAAAATCAATAACTATTTCTCCTCTCAGAGAGGTATCAATGCAGGCGTGCCCCAGGGCACCCTAATTGGTCCGTTTCTGTTTAATCTTTACATAAATGATATTCCTATTACTAACAACGTACACCTCAGTTTATATGCAGATGACACAACAATCGCTGTCTCTTCTAACCACATTCAGGATCTCACTATTAAATTAAATCAATATCTCAAGCAACTTGAAGCTTGGCTTACTCGCTGGAAAATTAAAATAAATGTAGAAAAAAACACAAGCTGTACTCTTCACGAGACGCAAAATTCCTCCGCCTAATGTTTCCCTACTTAACCAACGAATTAATTGGACTAACAATACTAAATACTTAGGAGTATACCTTGATAGTAAGCTAACATATTCTAATCATATTGACCACATTAAACGTAAATATAATATTTCTATACGCATGCTTTATCCATTCATTAATAGAAAATCCCTCTTACCCTTGGATAATAAACTAATTATTTACATGTACTATTTGTGTCCCATCATCACATATGCTAGCCCAGTTTGGGGTTCCGCTGCAAAATACCACATCAACTACATCAAAAGAATTGAAAATAAAATTTTAAGAATGATTACTGATTCTCCTTGGTATTTTAGGAATGATGACATTCGTCACTGTCTTGCCCTCCCCTCTATTCAAAAATTCATGCTCAAGCTTGCAGAAAAATTCTATGCAAATCTTGAACACATCCCGAATGATGAAATCCGTAATCTTCCGAGATACGATTTCCATCTTCCGGAAAATGCTAAACGCCCAAGGGCTGTTCTTCACAACTTGCAAAGCTAATAGACGAACTGGCTCAGTTGTCGTCATGACATCTGTGCTTTTAGTCTTTATTCCTAGCAACGAAAATCCCCTCCTACTGTAGATTCCTTTTCAAATTTTGGATTCTTTAATTGTTCTGTTTATTTTATTAATTTTTGTTTTTTATTTTATTTTTCTCCTTGTTATTAGCTATTTTAATAATTTTTTCTTTGCTTATATTTTTAATATATATTTTAACATGGGACATTGCTCTTAAATCACTTCACCTCCTTTTAACTATCAATGTTTTTTCCTTCACCAATGTTTCTCAGATGCAGATAGGAGTTTTAGGCCCCTTTGGGGCCAGGGCACTCCGAAATCCTGTAAAGACGACGACGATAGATTCTGAACTGGTGTTTATTCGCGATCCAGATAAAAAATAAACTTTGAATTACGATGTTAAGAGAACTGCATCCTATTATAAAAAGGTAGAAAATAACTTTCGTTTGTTGTTTGTTTGTTAGAAATTGTTTGTTAAAAACTTGTTTACTATTCGCAACTGAATTTTGAAAACATCTGACTTCATACATCTGCATCATTCTTTTATTGCCATGCTGGGTAAGTTGCAACATTTTTTCTATTAAGAGTTATTAAAATGACATTTGATTTATAAAGGATGATTTTCACGTATAGTTATTTACAGATGTATAAAATTTAATTTCATTTTCGAAAATAATGTTTTTCCGTTAAGTTCTAAGCACTCTGTTAAGCGATAAGAAGTGAAAGTCTTGAAACCAAATTCAAATGCTTATGATATTTAAGAATAAATATGACGTCATATCTATCTCTTCCTAAAACAATCTACTGAAATAAACAATGAAAATAAATTAATAAAAAAATATTATAATAAATTAATAAATAATTATCTTTTAATTTTTTTAAAAATAATTTTTTTTTTTTACATTTAAAAATTTGAAAAATTATTTTTAAAATTAAAAAATAAATGCTTTTGTATTTAATGTTATGAAATCCAATAGAACTATAATTGAATGATGATAAAAGTTTAAAAGAAATTTGAAAATTATCTTTACCATTAAGTCATTACGTACACTTAATTATTCTAACGACATTCTTATTTTTGATTTATCCAATTCTTTTTTTTTTTTTTTTTTGAAAGACAGAGAATTTCAAAATTCTTTAGAATTTGGCTAAAAAAAATAAAAGACCTATTGAAGAATTCAGTTGTGTAAAGTAATTTGAAGTATATGTTGTGTCTTCCACGAAATCGTTGTTTAACTAAAAACCAGAACAAAATAAGGAAAAATTATTAACCTAAGAAAATTGTATTCTTCTATTTTAAAATTTTAATAAAGTACGAATTATTTGTTGAATTGTTTAATTTTTCTGAATATGGTATTCCCAAAAATGAATTGTTATATACAAAGACAATACTTTTTGGGGATATTATTGTAGTTTATTTTAAAGTATATTTGCAATAAATGATTTCTGATAACTTGAACAGGATTTCTAGCTCAACCTGAAATTTTATTTGGGATTAAATCATATTTCCTTTTCAATCTTTAAAAAAAAATGTACGATTCTTATAAACAATTCGGCAGAAAATCATTTATCATTACCTGCAACCTCGTTTATCATTACCTGCGCCAGAATTTCTTAATTTGTCTTGTGATCTACAGGCAATAAAATTAGTGAGGAAAAATATATATATATTTTTATAATTAAAAATCGAAATTTTTTAATATTAAAACAATTTTATATTTAATGTTATGAAATCGAATAGAACAGTGATTAAATAGAGACAAAATATTAAAAAAAAATCAAAATTATGTTTACCATTAAGATATATTATGTACAATTAATTATTCTAATGACATTCTTATTTTTTCTTTATAAAATTAATATTCTTATTTTGCTACAAAAATATTGTTTTATTTTATCCAACTGGTATTTTTATTTTTATTTTATTCTGATGATATTCTTAATAATTTTTAATTATAAATTAGTTTGGACATAATTTTATAATTTAAAAAATATCAAGAATATCATAAGAATAAAATATAGGGACAGACATTAACAGAATATCATCCGAATATATAAAGGGAATATTTTAAAGAACATAAGTTTATAATTTTAATTGTAAATGTATGACCTTTTTCCAATTCCTACTATTAGTTCACACTCTCCCTATATATATATATATCTTGTTCAAATATTCAATCATTAATAAAATACTTTTTATTCATCCATTCAAGTTCAAATTTATTTTTTGAACTTGTAGTGGATGATTGTTAATATAGTTTTTTCACTTGATGTTAATATAGTTTTTTCAAATATTAATTCATTAATTAAATTTAATTAATTAATTTTAGTTTTTTTAAGATTTAAGTTGCATGTATCGAATAATAGAAAATTTCAACTTAAAAAGTAGGAATTGACTTAATTTTTTTTATTTTTATAATACTTGTTTATATATAACTTCAAAGTCATACATCTTCTTTTTGGAGGCTTATGAACTATTCACAACGATACATAAAGGCAATTTAAAACACTGAAATATTGTAGATGTTTGTAACAAGTGCTTTATTAAAATTCCTTAATTTATATAAATTCTTAATATAATAAATCGTTGTAAATGAAAATTAAAATAATTTCTGTCTGTCAACAACATAAATTTGGAAAATCCCCCAAGTCATGTAAAAACACAAATATTTTTTTAAAGATGATTTTTTTTATATATATCTAGATAAAACAATATTAATTAATAAAATAAAATGTTATAATTAATGTCTTTTGATCACTTATTTATTTAAAAAATAATGAAGATAATATCATGTTCGTACATGATAATAATAGCAGGTTTTCTTTAGTTTCGCTTTTTGAAAATGTTGTTGTGGTTATTATAATGCAGCTGGTAGAGACAGCTAACCTGTATGCCATAAGCAATGGGATGCAAAGTTGTTACTTATTTAGCACTACCCAGGGGCACGTGTAGCTTGAAGACATGTTACAATCGCGAGTAACACTATTCCCTTTTTGAAAATGTAAATTTATGCAATGCTAACAATTCCGAGTCTAGGTGAATAATGGTATCATATAAAAGATTTGTGATAAAAAATGGATTAGATGGTCTCAAGAATTAAATTGGTTAATTGTTTCACTTATTTTCTTAAAGGTAAAACTGCAAAAAAATATTCGTTAATTAAAAAAGATTATATAGCAAGATTATATGATAATATTAACAAACAGAGTAATTTTTTCTTTTCCATGTGTGAATTTATGCAATGCTAACAATTCTGAATCTAAGTAAATAACGATAAAACATAGAACATTTATGACAAGAAAGATTACGTGGTCTCACGAGTTAAATTGATTAATTGTCTCAATTATTTCCTTAAATATAAAATTGAAAACAAATTAGTCAATTAAAAATATTACTAATATAATCTTTTCTTTTGTATTTTATAAGAAAAGGGTTACAGACTTTTATTAGTTTTTTGAAACTTAAATAATAAAGCAAATTATCTGGTATTTATTGAAAAGTACTATGAACAACAAAACACATATTTTTTTAGAAATTCAAAGGACCTCATTTTGCCTATTTTTCATCGTTACTGTTTGCTTATTAATCACTTGTAAACTCCTAAAAATCCAAGACTGACTTTAGAAAAATTTCCGGATCAGAAAACAGACAATGTGTTACCATCTCCTAAGTCAATATGAACGTCCATGTTTCGAGACCTTTCAACTA